ATATTTGACCGATTTTGTGTAGATCATAGACCCAACGTTTCTTCGTATGCGACCTAAATTTGCTCGACTGTGCTGTAACCTTGTACGTCGTACTAAATTTAATTTCAGAGTTCATATATATTTCCGCCACATTTTTTTCCGATTGGGAAAACATTTATCAAGATGTGCCATATTGAGATATTGAGAATGACACTTGTTAAGTTTTGCTGAAATCGAATTTAGCATACCAAAGACTACGTTTGTTGCACAGCATACTGACATGAGCCTTTAAAGAAAGCCCTAGTTTGGATCACTTGGGTCTAGACTAGATTTAAATGAAATATAAATTCAACACACATTGATTCTTACTTTCCAATCGTTCTAAACGTTCACGTTTCTCCGCTGCCTCCTCTGCCAATTTGGCTGATGTTTTTACACCTTCACCAGATTTTTGCGTCTTTTCCATAATCGAACAGGCACGCATGACATAGGTGGGTACCGTTTCCTGCTTCTCTTGGCGTGGTATATCGATGAGGGCCCAATATTGCGTTTCTAATCGAATCACATCCTAGGGGAAATAGAAATATAACAAATATTTAAAGGATTTACCAGAACTATCAGAACACAACGACATCACCTTTATCATAATTTTCAGCATTGGATAACGTTGAAAAATATTACGTTGTGATTTCGAATCGCCATATTTATTCATAAGGGTTATTAAAGCTTGTTTAGCCGTGTCGTAAGATTCCTCCAGACGTATGCGTAAATTACGCAGCCGCTCATTTGTCTCGATGACTTCCTCACGGCTCATGCCACCTGAAATAGTAAGAGAGGGAGTTTGAATATTTGAAATGAGGTCAGGGAAATTTATATTGTTGTGTGTCATTGTCATGATTTTGTGTCTTACTAGGTGCACCTTCATCCTTGACGTCCTGGACAATCCTTCGAACGCTTTGCGTGAATTTACCAACAAAATTTGTTGTAGCTGGAATGAAGAAAAAAATAAAATAATTGTAGTTACAAAAAATGTAAATGCTTTTTATAGAAATTTAAAATTATCATTTTTAAAAATTATCGATTCAAAAAGGTTTTGTTCGAAAATTGCCTTCGACACTATCGTTTATTAACCAAACGTAGCAGAAATTAGGCAACAGCCGATATATGGTAATCTGCGATTTGCTAGGAAATATTCTGACTATCAAGAGTCAGAGCATTATGCCGTTAAAAATCGCATCTGTCGAAAAATGTTTTCCAAATTTCACTAGAGACGCCGTCGCTGTGATTTGAACCTAGTGCCTTGTGTTTTCATTCAAAACTCGCTGTACTGAAAGATACGCAACACAACCGTTTAGACAGCTGAACCAACGAGCATTGGTTCTGGTCGTGCGTTATCTTAATGTTTTCTCTGTTGGGGGGTGTGCAGACCCCAAGTGTGCCTCTAGTTTATTTATAGAACGTGTTTTTATTGTTGTTGTTTTTTTCGTTTGTTGAACATCACACAACAATACCCTCTAGCCAGTTTACGGCTGTGAGTGTTAGTTGTTGTTGTCATGCAATTTAAGAGAAGAGATTTTTTCGTAAGAGAACGAACAAAACATTGTAATAACACGTTTGGATTCCACATGTGTTCCAAGTTTTGAAAATAAATGATCACGCTGGTAGATAAGATTGAAGGTAAAAGCTACTATTTAACGGAGATAGGAAGTTGAAGAAAATGTTGAATTAAATATTTAATTAATTCTATTGAATTTCCATGGACAGACGGACAAGCATACGTAAATAATAAAAAACAAGTAAAAAAGTGTCAGTCGGTGTTGCCGACATATATATACCACCAGCATATGGTTTGCAGAGGTCTTCGGAATTATACACTGATTTTATTATTAGCTTTATATAAGAAACGTGTTTTTATCAAAGGGGTTTCGGATTTAATGTTGATCACAGTTTATAAAATATTGGCCATTTGTGAGGCAGGTACCGGAAGGAGTGGACTATTGGGTCCCACCTTCGGACTTGATATAGGGTCGGTTAATTCGGAGTTATACACTGATTTTATTATTAGCTTTATATAAGAAATGTGTTTTTTATAAAAAGAGTTTAGAATTTAATGTAGATCGAATTTTATAAAATATTGACCATTTGTGAGGGAGTTACCGGAAGGAGTGGACTACTGGGTCCCATCTTCGGGCTTGATATAGGGTTGGTTAAAATAATAGGGTGCGCAAGGTTTAGTTCAAATCTGACATTCCATTCGTCTGATATTGCATTATTAAATATTGAAAATGTTGATGATTAGTGTGGGAGGTACCAGAAGGAGTGGACCAATAGGCCCTATCTTCATACTTGAGCTAGACTTGGTAAAGATAATAGGTTGTTCAAAAGTTTGGTTCGAATCGGGCATACCAGTCGCCTGATATTGGATTTATAAATATAGAAATTTTCGATCATTTGTGCGAGTGGTACCTGAAGGAGTAGACCAATGGGTCCCATCTTCCTACTTGACCTAGGCTTGGTAAAAATATTAGCTAGTACAAAGTTTGTTAAAATCAGATAGTCCGTTTACATGTTATTATAAAATAAATTTTAGCACAATTTTACCATTTTGTGGGGGAGGAACCAGAAGAAGTGGGCACATAATCCCCCTTCTTCCAACTTAAACTAAGTTTGGAAGAAATATTAAGATGTGCAAAGTTTAGATGAAAGAAAGACGGACGGACATGTGTAAATCGACTCCACATTTTTTGAAACTGATTTGGTCTATAGAAACATGAGGGACATTTTCACCATATTCACCCTCATTAGCCATAAGGCTGAGGGTATAAAAACAAGTAAAAAATCCTTAAGTTCGACCGGTGTGAACTTTTTATACCATCCACCACGTGATGGGCATTCAAAATTCCTAAAGTCGATCGGGACAATTATATGGGGACTATGCTATTGTGTTATGGGAATTATATAAAAACTTGGACCTACATAGACAATCAATCAAAAAACCTACAAAATGCGGCTACCCTTATATGGAGGTTATTTCAACACATGTATTTATATTGATCATTTTCTACATATCTGTATATAAGTCAGCCTTCCATAAGCCATTTTAACAAATTACAGCAACATCGATGGACAACTTCGGCATAAGTCTTCAGAATAGGGAATATGGGACGGAAGGGAGTTACACCAAAACGTAAACTGACATAATATTGAAAAAATTTCGTATACAGAAAGTGAAAAGCTGAAGTGAGTCCAAAATACCATTTTAAAGCTGATTCTATTGTAAAACGTGTTTAGAACTCCCAAAATAGCCAGAAATTGCGGGTACCGTTATATGGAAGCTACACTTAAAACTATACCAATATTGATCATTTTCAGTAGGAAGATTTTATTATTTCGAAGTGTTGCAAAAGGAAATGACAAATTCCATGGCGTGAATTTTTAAAGAGCATTAGTTTGGGGAAAAATAAATCCATTATTTTTTCGGCAGATGGCTGTACTTATAGATTTCTCGCTAGTTGTGAGGGTGACATTTCGCAGTAAAAAAAATATGTTGCTGTTTTTTGATTGGTGCCTTCATTTGTGAGTACAGGGTGTTAAAAATGACAAAGGCGAAAATGATCGAGAAATTCCTTTAAAATGGCAACAAATAATACAAACGATGCATATTTGGCCCAAATCGAACATTCCGATGCAATGCGGCTACAAATTTCAAAATACCGATAATGTGTTGGTACCATTTTATGGGCTTTCGATAAAAACATTTTCGTCAGATATATTTTAAATCCGGAATGGTAAATTAAAGTCACTTCCGTGAGAGTCAAAATACCGAAAATGGCCTGGAACCGTCATATTGGGGCTGTGCCAGAACGTGGAACTATATAAAGCCCGCAATACAAAATTACAGTTACTTTAGTGATCAAATGTGGTAAAAATGATGCGGGCTAATGAAGCTATGGCAAAACATGGCATATATCGATTTTTTTCTGTAAAAAGGTTTGGCCTTTCCAAGAGCTCGTAATTCCAAATTACAACCACTACGGTGCAACAAAGTGACGAAAATCTTGAAAATTCGGCAAATGGGTTGGAACCGTTATAGGAATCTGTACCAAAACATGGACCGATATTGTTAGTTTTTCGTGGGAATACTAGACATCCAATACGAAATCCAAATAAAAATTTAAATCCAATTCGATTAAAAATGTGTCCAAAGTTATCGAAATACCGAATAATGGGAGGTAGCATTATTGGGGGCTACAAAGATAAGGGAAACAGGCGGCTGTAGCAATAACTTGAAATTTCTCTTCCACCCCACCTCCTCCATTTTACTGAGAGAAGTGAGAATCTTTTTAGATTCAATTTTTTTTTTCAATTTCAGTAATCAGATATTTTGGTATTTCAAAGAACTTTCAGAGCCTGTGATTGACTTCTTAAATGCTTGAATACTCACTAGAAAAACGAAACATCATCTTTAACGGTCGAGGTCGAGAGATCCCAATGAGGATGAAACTTATCAGATCTCAGCCTGCAGCAATATTTATATAAGATTGGGTGCGAGGAAAGTAACAGGTGTAGAGCGTGTGGGGAAGACGGTGAACATTTTCTATGCCACTGTTCAGCTTTTGCAAGAATTTGAACATAATTCTTGGTAAATGATATTATTCATGAACTAACCGGCCTAAGGGGATATGAATGGGGATATGAAAGACTCTCTAAATCTCAATATAAGTTTTTCCATCTCCCTTTCCTTCCTAGAGCACCCAACATGCCATATGCATTACCCATTTACGTTCGATCGTTTGCATTCTAGTGTTATGACGCTAAACACTAATATTGGTATTTTGAAACTGAATTCAAAACGTGCTTATCGGACTACGATTTAAATGCGGGTAATACCAGATGTTCTACTGCACCCATTTCATTTAAAATTAATTTAAAAAAAATCTATATTCGAATCCTTAGTTCTAAATTGCATCATTTGTGTGAAATTATCGCTTAATTTTATGGCAAATTTTGAATACATCGAAATAAATTTAAAACGATTTTTTTTTGTATTCTCAATCTTTTTGTTTACTTGGAGAAACCCATTTATTATTGTTGTTATGTTCATCTTAACGATGATGCTGCTGCAACTGGTGTGGCCAGACACTCCCTCATTTGAATCATTATCCGCTGTGACGGCATTATGCATCAGCATCATTTTCATTTGCATTATTTTAGAAAAAGAAACAAAAAAATTAATGAAGAAAAAAAAAACATTTCAGTAAAATGAACTTGCACAAAAAGTGTTTATTATTTTTAAATGAATTTTTGTTGTTGTCTTTTTTCTGAATTGCTCAAATTCTTAGTAAGGCAAATATTACTATGAATAATTTACTGCCTTTCTCGACGTGTTTTGATGGCTATGAATGAAATACGAGTGGATAAACCCACACGTGTATCCAATCTAAGGCACGAGTGTAACTAATTTGTGAAATACAAAACAATTGATTATTCCATGAAAAATGAACATCAAATGCTGGGCAAGAATCTTTAATTTTATCTTTTTTTAAAGAGAATGAAAATGCTCTAAAGTCTGATATGTTTCAATAGAATAAATATGTCGAAGGTAGTAAAATAAAATTTTTCATAAGGAAAAATGTTGGATACCCTTTACCATAGGTATACTAACAGTTACCTGAAATGAAAATATAGGGAGCTTACCAAAAGTCGATGGTTGTAAAGCATAATGGACACCAATTCTTAAAAGGGATCAAAATATTGATAAAGCATTGTAAATGAACGTGAAACATGTATATATATATATATAATCGTCAAAGTACTGGCATTAAGAGGGCAACGTTATATGAGGCTATACCTAAAGCGAGACCAATATTGACCAATCGGGTATGAATTAGCGAATATCTGGGTTTATCATCATGTCAGAAATTATGCCTAATTCAATCAAGAACCTAATATTTTAGTATTCTGTCTCAATACCTTCACACTAAATATTAAA